GTTCCGAGACGATGGCCCAAACTTAGCCCAGAGACATCCTGGCCTGAATAACGTAAAGAAGAGGGCCATGGTGCTGTCAGAGCTCCCTGCAGCCTCAAACTCCTGTGTTCAAATGATCCTCCTGCCTCAGCCTCCCAAATTGCTGGATTACAGGTACATGCCGCTATACCCAGCTGATTTTTTTAAAAAAATTTAAATTTAATTAATCTTGCTGTGTTGACCCGGCTGGTCACAAACTCCTGGGCTCACGCCTGCCAAAGTGATGGGATTACAGGTGTAAGCCACTGTATCCAGCCTTACAGAACTGTTTATAAACAGTCATCACACCACCCTCAGTCTTCTTGACATTATTCAGGCCGGATGTCTCTAGGGCTAAGTTTTGGCCATTATCTCTGAACTCTCTTCAGTTTTCCCATCTTTTGTAAACTATTAGTCTATGAGAATAAAAATAATTTACTATTCTTTTTTCTATGCATTCTTGCCCTTTTTTTTTTTTTTGACACGGAGTTTCGCTCTTGCTACCCAGGCTGGAGTGCAATGGCGCGACCTCGGCTCACCGCAACCTCCGTCTCCTGGGCTCAGGCAATTCTCCTGCCTCAGCCTCCTGAGTAGCTGGGATTACAGGCACGCGCCACCATGCCCAGCTAGTTTTTTGTATTTTTAGTAGAGACGGGGTTTCACCATGTTGACCAGGATGGTCTCGATCTCTCGACCTCGTGATCCACCCGCCTCGGCCTCCCAAAGTGCTGGGATTACAGGCTTGAGCCACCGTGCCCGGCCCTCTTGCCCATTTTTAAGGGGAAAATTTCAGGAAACACTAAAAATAACCCTCCCAAACTGAGAAAAACAAAGTCTATAGAATTTCTACTTCCAGTTCAAAATTTCACCTATACTGTTAAGATTCTTAATATTCTTCAAAATTAGGGGACCCCAAAAGGGCTGGTAAGTTATATCCATTGATATCTACCATATTTGAAATTAAAACAGAAACTTTTAAAAAATCACAGTGAAAGAGGCAAGTCACAAACATAGACATGTAAGCGGCCACTATGAAAATTGTTCAACTTTGTTTAAGAAAGAAATGTAAATTTTAAAAAGATATCATTTTCATATAACAATTATCCAAGTTGTTAGATTTGTTGTCATTTGTTCTGTTTGACGATGACACTTGGTATTGACACAGAAAACTCTATTCTCTTATATTGCTCTTAAATGGATGCCATATTCCTCAAGAGCAAAATGTCAAAAATAATCACTAGCATTCCATGAGATTTTGCTAATTATTTTTGAGAATCCTCAAAATACCCAATTATTATTATTTCTATTTTACAGTTGAGAAGACAGCATTTCAAGGAGATAAAGTAATTGGATTATCGTGTCACAACTTGTTAAGTAGTTAAAATTTTGTTAGAACCTAGAAAATAAACTTTTAAAAATCTACTGTAAGTAAACAAAAAAAAAACATCTATATAAAAAGTTCTAGATGAAATATTATTTATAATAGAGGAAAACTGTTATCAATCTAAATATCCAACCATTATTTATAATAGTGGAAAACTGTAATCTATCTAAACAGCCAACAACAAATAATTGGCCAATACAACCTACATACAGACTAAAAATTTCATATAGTAAGAACCATACTCTCTTGTTCATTGATAGATTGCCATTACTTGCATTACACAGAGTAGGGACTTAGTAATAGTTTTAAAAGATGTGAATAAAAAATAATACATGATTATTTAAAAATCATGGGTTTTTTTTGTTTGTTTTTAGACGGAGTTTCTCTCTTGTTACCCAGGCTGGAGTGCAATGGCGCGATCTTGGCTCACTGCAACCTCCGCCTCCTGGGTTCAGGCAATTCTCCTGTCTCAGCCTCCTGAGTAGCTGGGATTACAGGCACGCACCACCATGCCCAGCTAATTTTTTTTTGTATTTTTGTAGAGACGGGGTTTCACCATGTTGACCAGGATGGTCTCGATCTCTTGACCTCGTGATCCACCCACCTCAGCCTCCCAAAAGTACTGGGATTACAGGCTTGAGCCACCACACCCGGCCTAAAAATCATGTTTTAACGGCATATTTCATGAATAAGGGAAAAGCATGTTACAAAACAGCATGAACAGTGTGATCACAGTTTTGTAAATCTACATGTAAGTAAATGTACAGAAAAATATCTAGATGTATTAACACACATATATGTGAACTTCTTGGCTGTCTCTGTGCTGATGCATACTGGTTACTCAATAGATATTTATTGATTGAATTAATGATTGAATTATATTCTAAAAGTACCTTGGGCTAATAACCGGTAATATTTTCTTTTTCTTCCTTGCAATTTTCTATATTTAACAAAATTTTAAACAGTGAGCGTGATTTGTCTATATAGTAAACAATAGTATAAAAACTAATCATTCTGGGAAATTTTATTAGGAATTTTGGAATAAAATTAGTAAATATAGACACCCCACAATCCAATAAAAATAACTTACATCTGATTTTCCTATTACGTTTCACTTACCGCATTCAACAACAACAACAACAAAAAAAAACAGTAAAAAAATTGTAAAGTGTAATATTGTACAGTTAATTATTATTGGGGTTGGGTCTAGAACCCAGGTCACTTGGTTTCCAGGCAAGCAGTTTCTTCCATTGCATTAAGTTGCTTGGAGTTCTAGAATACCAATCAATACAAGAATTCTGTGGGTGCTGCAATATCCACTGTTAGTTCCTTCCTTATAAGTAAAATGATTTTCTAATTAATTATTTTGTATTATCAGAAAAGTCCAAAGTTCTAAGAAATACCGCATTTTTATGTATTATGAATTGTCTTTGGCGATTTGTGAACTTCTTAAAGATGTTTTTAAATTTGTGTGTGTTGGAATGGCATGATGTGCATTATTCTAGGGAGGGGTCCATACCTGTCAAGATTGTGAAAGTGTCTTTGATGGGAAAAAAAGCAAGGAAAAGAAAAGAAAGAAAAAAATGAACAAAAGAAAGACAGAAAAAAGAAAGACAGAGAGGGAAGGAAGAGAGAAAGAAAGGAAGAAAGAAAAAGTAAGAAAGAGAAGGAAAGAAGGAAAGGAAGGAGGGACGGAGGGAGGGAGGGAGAAAGGTTTAAAATAACTAAAGCTATAATATCTGCAAGCAAGAAGAATGGAAAAAAACTAGCAGTAAATAAAAGCAAACAGGAGGAAAGGGAACCACAACTAATTCTGTCTTCCTCTTTTTTATTCCTGGAACATATTTTCTAATACGTAGATGATTCGGTTTTAATGACTACTTTCTAAGTAGCAGCACTAGAAAAGATAATGGGTTAAAAGCATAAGCCAGATAACCTCTATGAAATGAACACTTTAAGTTGCTAAAAATCTATTTAATGATTTTTTCTTTTCCTAATTAAATATAAATGCAAAATACTTCAAAATGACTTTTTTTTTTTTTTTTTTTTGAGATGGAGTCCTGCTGTGTTGCCCAGGCTGGAGTGCAGTGGCACCATCTCAGCTCACTGCAACCTCCATCTCCCGAGTTTAAGCAATTCTCCTTCCTCAGCCTCCCGAGTAACTGGGATTACAGGTCCATGCTACCATGCCCATCTAATTTTTGTATTTTCAGTAGAGACAGGGTTTCACCATGTTGGCCAGGCTGGTCTCGAACTCCTGACCTCAGGTGATCCGCCCGCCTCTACCTTCCACAGTACTGGTATTACAGGCATGAGTCACTAAGCCCGCCAAAATAACTTACTTTTTAAACGTAGGTTAAAAAATGCAATGTCTTATCTCAAAAAATATGCTTCCCCTACGGGAAGTTTGTAAAACGACTTTGAGCAAATGCATATTAAACACTTCTCTATGCATTTCACAATTATTGCTTAATTTAAAATTTAACTCTTCCAGAGCTCAATGGAAGAAGTAAATACCTGTTTCTTATCCCAACCTTTAACTTGATTGGCAAGGTATAGGGACCTCTAGAATGTAACTGTAAAATTCTTAACAGAGCTTGTTTCGCTACAGTCCTCTACAAATATCCCTTGAACTACAATGCCAAATTTACGCAACAAACAGAAACAAAAATACAAATCCTCCTCGAACCCCAAGTACATGGGCAAACATAACTTTAGAATTGACACTCATTCAAACAGTACGCCTCCAACACTCCTTCTGCCGTGGCTGCGTAAGTGCTGACATCATCAACCCATATAAAGAGTATTTGTTATTCTATTTTTGTAGGCAAGTTTATTTTTAAGACTAAAATGATTATAAATTGTAGGAGACAGATACATCCATCCACTGATACTTGAAAGTCAAATAACTTTTTTTCTGTTTTTTTTTTAAAACACTAAAATATTCACACTCAAAATTTAACTATATAATTTGATTACATCTTTTCAAGTACCTAGTGTCGAGCTTTTCTTTCTTCTGGCAAGCCAACTAACTTAGGGAAAGACGGATCATCAGAACACCACTCCGTTTACAATTAATTTTTCAATAATCCTCTTTCGCATAGTTCTGCAAAATACCGAATAGCCAGGAAGGCCTTCCTTACGTCACCACAAGGACCGATTTTTAGAAATTAAAAGTTGAGTCGACAACGTGTGTCGCTCCAGATCGCTAGGGCTGTCCAACTGCCCCGCGTGCCGCTGCCCGAGTTCGAGATCAGTACCAGCTGGGTGTCATCACGTGGAACGCTAACAAGCGCCACCTCACTGCCGTTTTGAACGCGAACTTTCTGGGACGCCAACCCAAAGAAACACCTTATCCTCGGACTCCACAGCGCACTTAGACCCAGGAAGGCAGCCCTGCGTGGCTTGGAGGAAAACTGAGGTCCCTCATCGGTGTTTTATTTCAAAAGGCAGAGGACCTGCTGACTTCTTAGAGCAGCGAGGCTTCCCCTCCGTCCGTCCCTCCTTCCAAGCAACGAACCAAGCAGAAGCTACGGGGAGTGGGAGAGGCCCGGGGAGCGGGGCAGGGCGGACCCTCGGCCTGCAGCTCCGGCCGTACCTGAGCGTCCTCGGGTCCTCGGCGCCTCCGGCTGCAGGTCGGGGTCCCCGCTCAGCGCGGGACTCGGAGATCGGCCGTCCTGGTGGGCGGGGCTCGAACGTGGGCGGGTCCCCCGGAGCTCCCGCGGACGTTTTAAGGTGGAAACCACGCGTGAGCGGGAGAACGCTCTCTTCCCAGGGAAGCTACTACTGCACGTGGAGACGCTTCGTTATGGGAACCAGGAGTCTGAAGTCAGAAAATACGTTCAGATAACATGTCAATTAACCAGTCCTCAATTCCCTAAGTGCTGTTGTGGATTTCTCTCTCTCTGTGTGTGTGTGTGTGTGTGTGTGTGTGTGCGTGCATCTGAAACTAGTACTTGTCCTTAAGGAGTAACTACTTCCTCCTTTTTCCCAAACAAGAACACAATTGAAAAGACAGTGAATAACGTAGAGCATTTTTGCATTATTTGAAAAGACGAAGTTCGTAAGAAACCCCAAATATAAAAATGTACCTTTTTAAATAAATATCAGACCACTTTAAAGGTCGAATCGATTTAAAGAGTTCCACTCCAGACTCAGAACACCTGTGTTGATAGTCACTGCTTTGTAAATTTAAGATGAAAGGCATGCCAAATAATGTGATACACATGTTGAGATTTAGGAAAGAAAATGAAATCAGGTTGAATTCCAAATTGGCAATGTAAATTCAAAGACCTGATAGCACTGTCATGAAGAAGGTGCACTGTTTAAATATATCCAGATTCCGTAAGAATCAATTCATGTCTTTAATGATTGACACGTTCACTTAGTATACCTTGTTTTGCAAACACAGGTTCTTCTGTTTTAGCCTTTAATTAAATACTAAACTTACTCTCCTAACTCTCTTAAAACATTTTAAAAATATACAATTTCATTAAATCTTCTGGATTATCGGCTTTCTATAGCCCCACATTCAACCCTTTTTTGTTTTTATTTTTTTTCCCTAAATTCAACCTGGCATATTACAAATATCTCCTCGCCAAAAAAAAAAAAAAAAAAAAAGAAAGAAAAAGAAAAAAAGAAAAGAAAAGAAAAAGAAAAAAAAAAGCCAGTAATGTCATTTTTAGGAAGGAGAGATTTATAATAAAAAATGTTTCTCTTTCCAAAGAAATCCCTGAATTTCATGAAAGTAGGTGTATGTTAATAAAGGAGCAGAGAGCACACCAGTAGTTTTCATCTCTTTCCCCCAGATACAATTGGTGAAAGAAAGAATCTATACTACAGTGTATGTTCATTCTAAGACTCTGAGAAAGAAAGACTCCCCGGAAAAGCAGCTTCACAGTGCTTATAAGAGCACAAAAAAAGTGCTCTAGTGCTTTTTGATAATAAAAAGTTATAGCTCTCAATATTTGCACATGATATCCAATAGTGTGTCATGCATTGAAAATTTAAAAAAATATTTAAACACTTTTAAAGAAACTGTCATTATATATTATAATTAGGGTTAAGATATATGGGGAAAAGTTTGCCTCTTTTCAGCCTTACTAAACAAAGCTGACTTATCTTCACCTTTATAATGAATAAAGGCTGCTGCAGGTATGTCTTCTCCACTCTGGAATCAGAGCAGATCACATCCTATTTGCCCATTTTGTGGTTCTGTGTGACCTCCTTGCCTCATCTACTTTGGCTTGCTACTGGTGATCTGATTTTCACAGAGACCCTTAGGTGGATAGTACAAGTTCAGATTTGCTGTCTTCTCTTTGCCCAATTTCCCCCAAAAATATTTTCAGCATTGACCTACTGGTTTCAAAAACCTGTGCTTCCACCTTAGGCAAGACAGACCCTGCCTTCCATGGTGTGCTTCAGTCTGCAGGATTCATTAGGACCGAAGACCCTTCTTCACTTGATCTGTCCGTTGGCAAAGATCAGTCATCTGCGACCCAGCTGAAACTGAGCAATGTAATAGCAGCTTCTTTAAATCCAATTCCACCATTTGTATTATTTCCAGCTAGTAAGTTTCATACAGTTTGCTAGTAATTTTCAACATCTTTAAAATTTTAGACAGAGAATAATAAACCAAGAAATAGATAAGTAATCAAAAGGAACAACCCCCAAACTGGCCAAATTGACAAAGAATATCTACTTGTCAAAAGCCATGGCTCAAAAACCCCAGGGGGTTAGGAGGGGGAACCCCGATGTTTGTATGATTGATTTTTCTTTCTTTATATGTGGTTGTCTTCTGTTGTCTTTTCTACTATTTCCAATTCATCTATCCTGTGCTCTAACTATATGAAAGGGCTTTGTTTTTCATGCACTTGAACAAGGGTCATGAGAGACTACATGAGAGTTAAATCCAGATAGAAAATGAAAATGAGTTGCCAGCATCAGGTACTAAGAGAGAGTTGAGTAGGGATCGAATCCAGATTGCAGCTAAAATCAGAAAATGGTTACCAATCAACTAACATACTTACAATAATGTATCCTTCTATTCCGCAGGCTATGCTTGAGTCTTCTGGTCCAACTATACTTACAGTAAAATAATAAATGGATATTTTTGCTACTTACTTGTATCTGGGAATATAATTAACACGAATTATTTCTCTTTTTATCTATTAACAAAATCAATCAGGTTAATAAAACAGCAAGGCAAAGAAAATTATTTTCTCACCTTGTCAAGTTTTTTGGCGTCTCACTAACAGACCTCTACCTTTCATTCAAACTAACATGCAGACTATTCTCCTTGCACATCGTTTCCCTAAATTCCACTGAAATAATCCTACTCATCCTGCAAGGCCTAGTTCAATGACTATCTCGTCTGGAAAATTTCCCTACCTCTTCCTTCTCCATCAGAATTCATTATTCCTCTTGTATGAGAACGCTCATTAGAGCACTGATCATATATTATATTTGGCTTTAAATAGCCAAATACATTAATATTTAAAAAAATATTTTATATTCCATGAGGGCAGGAGGCACGTCTTTTTTATTTTAATATAACCTCTTTCCACCAGAGTTTATAACACATTAGGAGCTCAATGGGTGTTTGCTAAATTTGTTTTCCACGGTATCAGGGTCAAAGATATCTTTTTTAAAAAATATTTTTTATTGCATTTTAGGTTTTGGGGTACATGCGAAGAACACGCAAGATTGTTGCATAGGTACACACCTGGCAGCGTCATTTGCTGCCTTCCTCCCCTTCACCTATATCTGGCGTTTCTCCCCATGCTATCTCTCCCCAACTCCCCGCCCCCCACTGTCTCTCCCCCATTCCCCCCAACAGACCCCAGTGTGTAGTGCTCCCCTCCCTGTGTCCATGTGTTCTCATTGTTCAACACCCGCCTATGACTGAGAACATGCGGTGTTTAATTTTCTGCTCTTGTGTCAGTTTGCTGAGAATGATGGATATCTTAAACCTGACACCCAAATAGCACTCTACTAGCCACTGCCATCTCCATCATTACTAAAGAATAGACATTTTACGTTTATAATACCCTCCAGTACACACACTGATAAATTACCGGCAATATAAAACTACCAAGAAGTAGGGTGAAATGGAGCCTAATTAAAACGTACTTACCATGAATTTAAAATTTAGATGTTATGATAAAAGTACAGCTCTCAGAAGAGCCTATCTATGAACAAGAAGACCTATATTTTAATAGCTATCTACTTGTAATTACACATACATTTGCAAAGATGTTTTGACCTAAACAATGGAAGCAATAATTTTCTCTTACTTATCCTTTTCGAATTGAATGCATGAAACGAATTATTACTGCTTACTTAAACTTTACCTTCCTTTTAAATATATTAAGAAAACTAAAACAAAGTACTACTAATAATTGATTGTTACTCTTTATATAGAGCCTATAATGTGCCATCTACTTGTGTTAGTGCTACATTTGTTGTATCACTAACAATTATATTCACGAAATGAGACATTACTATCTTTATTTAGAATCCCAATATTAAGTAAGCACATAAAATTTGTAGTGAGGCTAGGATTTCAATCCAAGTGTGTCCAACTCCAAAGCCCACAATTTTTCTAGTGTGTCCCACTGTCTCATAGCAAGCTTTGTTTGGCCATCTTTTCAGCCTTGTCCGAAGTCAACCAAATCTTTGACTGTTCGACAGCAGTGGTAGCGGAGATCATGAAAGCCCCATTATCCTAAGCACCCAGGTGAGGAACTTTCTACTATTCTCTTCCACATCAGCAATGGCCACGGTCTTGCCCTTTTCTTCCTTCAACACCCCCAACTCCTTTATTTATCTTCTGGTTTCTATCTTCTTTTTTTTTTTTTTTTTTGAAACAGAATTTTGCTCTTGTTGCCCAGGCTGGAGTGAAACGGTGATCTCAGCTCACCGCAACCTCCGCTTCCCAAGTTCAAGTGATTCCCCTGCCTCAGCCTCCCAATTAGCTGGGATTACAGGCATGCGCCACCACGCTCAGCTAATTTTTTGTATTTTTAGTAGAGATGGAGTTTCTCCATGTTGGTCAGGCTGGTCTTGAACTCCCAATCTAAGGTGATTCACACACCTCAGCCTCCCAAAGTGCTGGGATTATAGGCATGAGCCACCATGCCAGGCCTCAGATTTTTTTATATCTGCATTTTTCTGTCCATTTTACTTTCAAAATATTAACTTGGACTCTGGCTTTACTTTTACTTACATATACCACCATATGATCTTTACTCCTGAAGCTCCTTTTCAGTCTTAAAATCATCCTAGGCTTCACTAACAGATGGACCTTCCTACAGTCTGGTCATTTCACTACCCTACCCACACCATCCACTTTTCTCTACTAACTGTTGATTTATAATACTACACTTTAAAAATACATTTTTTTGGCCGGGCGCGATGGCTCATGCCTATAATCCCAGCACTTTGGGAGGCCGAGGCGGGCGGATCACAAGGTCAAGAGATCAAGACCATCCTGGCCAACACAGTGAAACCCCATCTCTACTAAAAATATAAAAACTTAGCCGGGCATGGTGGCACGTGCCTGTGGTCCTAGCTACTTGGGAGGGTGAGGCGGAAGAATCGCTTGAACCCAGGAGACAGAGGTTGCAGTGAGTGAGACTGTGCCACTGCACTCCAGCCTGGTGACAGAGCAAGACTCCGTCTCAAAAA